GCGTTTTTTGCGTGGTGTCAATTTCATTTCCAGGTGACAGAAGACGTTTCTTTATTAGATTGACTTCGGACCCGGTGTGATGGGTGACAACTCGCGCGAGGCGAGTTTGTCCCGTACGAAGGCCTTTCAACAGCCGAGCGGCCTTTGACTCGGCCGGCAATCAGGCTCTCAGGCACCCCGTCCCGTTCGTGCGTCAATAATAAAGTCTTCGTAGATTTGAATCCGGGCTCGCGATACCGCGATCGTGAGATATTCGATCGGACGTATTCGTATATATTTATCTGTAATCGGTTATATATAAAATAAGCAATAACGGGGAAGCATATGGATATATTCAAGTGCGTTTAATAGTACTTATAAAATTTATTTTGTAAAGCTTAAGTACATGATAGAGCGAAAATTAAAAGATATATATATATATATATATATATATATATATATATATATATATATATATATATAGACGCGTGTTCTTCGCCTCGCGTTGTCTATTATCTATAAACAATATCGTACTCACTTATTTTTTAATTAAAGTTATTGACAATCGGACCTTTATATATTATTTTCTATCTATTGGTCCTCTCTCCTTTCTGTTTCTTTTTAAACGGATTGTAAGGTCCGTCAAATGTACACGTATATTCGTATATGTCCAATTAATACTGTGGATTAATATATTTTTTCTTGGTCCTAGCAGCGTGAACAAGTTGCCTGTATGCTGTGTTTCTTTGCCTTTTATTAACAATCAAACTGAACTCAACTATTAATTAAGTAAAAGAATAATGCCGGATAACTCGGACAAATCAAACTAAATTTAAATTTCAATTGGCGAGATGAACTCTGAATTCGGAAATATTGCGGCCTAGTTGCTCTAGCGTTCAGTCCTGACTGACTAATCTCTCCTCGTTGTTTTCACCGGTTTATTATATATTCTTTGTCCCTCGCATTCCGTCTCTCTCTCGCACATATACTTTAGACGGTTACGCTTCTCGTATCGGCTCGTATTACCTAGCTAAGCACGCTGACTGCAGCATGCTGTCGCAGTGAATCAGCCTCTGCCGCTCATTCCCACCGAGTCGCGCACACGAATACTGCTAGCTATAGTGTTTTATTACTATATTCAAACGGAATTCTAGAGAGCAAAATCTTAATCGTAAAATATAATTATAACATAATGGAACGTCACGTAACATCCCTCCCCCCTTAGAATCGTTGCCGTTCTCGGTAACGTTTTGGGTTCAACTAGGGCAGTACAAGAAGAAAATAATAATATACATAATAATGATAAATAATAATAGTAAAATAAGATAAATGGTCCTCTTTATTGATATACAAGCAAAATAGTTAATAGAAGTAGGCAAAAGCTCGTTAATTTGGTCCAATCTTTATTTGCGCAACGCAAGTTGGCGGTTATCCGGTCCGGTTGTTAGATCTAGTCCCTCTAAGTCTTGTAGACAGGAAATTTGGTCCTGGAGTAACAAAATTTGGTCCTTTGGTTTGGCTGAGGGAGTTTGCAAAAACAAGGTCAGCTTGTTTATACTATCAAAGGGTGATCTGTTGTAATCGTAGGTCTCTAGATTACAGTCTTGCAAATGTTGGTCCCAATCGGAAAGATACACTGCCCTTCCATAGAACCAATGCGTTCTCAGTACATTCCTGTTTTGGTATTGGCAAATGGTCCTATGTGCTTCCAATTCTGTCTTGGTAACATAGTGTCTGCAGGCACCATGATAAACGTACATGGACCTGTTCCGGAGTTTGGCTGTGAGATGTGCTTTATATATACGATATAACGTTTATTTAAGTTGCTTAATGTCGAAGTGACACTCCAACTAAATATGTATTTATACTTATATTTGATTACTCCCATAGGCCCGCAAGAGCTTTGCCATGTTTTAATATAATCTACTGGTCCAAATTGCATGAAGTCGTCATGGACCCGCTGTTCTGGCCATGATTTACCCTGTTTATCGCGGAAAGGAAATGCAATCATCGGTCAGCGTCATCCTCCTTCGCATAGTCTGGTGTAGTCGATCGTGGCGTGAACCCAATTGGGTCTGTTGTTTCCTCATCTTCGTCTTCCGAAGAGTGCTCATTTGAAGTGTAAGGTGACATTCCCCTACGGTACACGGGAAGAATCTTAATACTGCCGCAAGGTAATCATCCTCAAGAAGAAATTCTATAATGATTTCTCCATAATGTGAGGAGGATGGGTCTGCTATCGTTGTAGCAAAGCGTATGGTCCCCACTGTACTAAATAATTTGATGACCGCAGCTTCTTATTAAGGGTCATCAAATTTGACTCGAATTGCAGTGGAGGAGTCATCTACTGGTACCACAGCTCGGAGGCGAATTCCGTTAATTTCTTCCATCCTAAGGTAGAAATATGGTCTAGTTAGTTGCGTGGTCGAGAGGAGAGAAAAAGTACAAAGATTTAAGACTATACATGAACAAGAGTAAAGAAATAGGTCAAAGATTAAAGAGTTATGGGTCCGTTAAGTAAAATAATAATATAGTTGAATGGTTCAATAATTTTTTTATCCTATGACTTATAATTTATACAGCTGATTCGAAGTATCTTCTATCTTCAGGGTCAATTCCTGTTATCACGTCTTCTTCCGTTAGGTCAATTCATCGGGCTTTTCGTAAGGTTACCCGTGGATTAGGAGTAGGATCCATTAATTTAATTTCCGTGAGCGTAACAAGATCTGTAGAGGGTCCATTTTTGTCTAATCCTATGTTAGGTCGGCTTGTTTCGGTAGAATTCACCTTATACACTCTTCTCACTTTTGATTTAGGGTATTGTTTTTTAAAAGCCAGTGGTGCCTAGTTTCATCACTGTGGTTCCATCTTCTTTTCCTTATGTCAGCATATCTAGCTTCGTAAATAGGGTCGCATTCTTTTAAGGCTGTTGCGGCATCAGCAGCTTTGTAATACTGAGCGTAGCCTATAGCAAGGGCTACTTTGTTATCCCGCACCACTTTATGATACACTAAGGGTCCGAATTGTATGAAGTCTTGGAAAAATGAGATTTCCCTATAACTCTCTTCAATTGTCCAGGGAAGTCGACAAAATAGTCGGGTTTTCTCCGTGGGCCTAGAATCGTTTGTTCGTAACGGTTTCGGTTTTCCAATACGGGCACGATTTATCTCGCTTATGTTCCAATTTTTTATTTTTCTTGCTTCAACTGCATATTTAATTCTAGTAAATTTGCAGAGAATAATTCTTGTACTGTTGTTTGTGAGATTTTGCAGTGAATGAAACTCCTCTATGGGTCCGATACTCTCTAATCGTGTCAAGAGTTCGCTCAGCGGCTTATGCTTTAAGTACCGGATCTTGATGCAAGTCGGGTCTATTATCAAGTGGCCGGACATGTCACTCATGACGATATTGGGTACTGAAACAAATGATCAATAATTTATTGATTAAAAAAAAATTCGTACAGACTCCGCTGTCTGGATTTGTAAACCCGAAGAATTTTCAGATTTTATCAACGGATTAGGTATAGTCGCCGAGGGTTTCGGTTTCTTCGAGGGTTGAATGTGAAGGGTTTCAATTTGAGCTTGTTGCTTAGATCGTTCTTCAGACATCCGGGCAGGCGTTTGCTTATTCGTAATCAGTCCGAGGCTATGAAAGATTGATCTGTGTCGAGGGTCCGGTGTATGCACGTGAAGTGATTCGTGTACTATGGTATTATTTATCGCTTTTGTGCGTACAATGCAACATTTATAAATTATACTGATAATTATTATGATTAGGATATTAATACTGAATCCTCCATAAATCAGTCCTGATTGCGTTGTTGTGATTTTTTTATGATTTCTTATAACACACATTTGCGTCTTTTCCATGATGTCGCTTAATGTTTTTTCTTGGCTGGTTCAGGTTTCAGTTTGTGGGGTCCATTCTTCCAATTTAATATCTGTTTTAGATAAGTAGGTGAACAAAATTCAATAGTATATGCAGAAGAGAGAGAAAGTGAGTGAGTACTAGGTAGGTCCAAGGAAATGGATGCTGTTTAGAGGTTCAATATACAAAGAAGAGTCGCAGTTTTATATCCCCCGGATTAGGGAAGAGACCGCACCTAGCCGGCATAAAAACCCCAGTCACAAGTGGGGAAAAGCCTTTTAGATGCAGCAACTTTATTAATAACAAATTACAACAGGTAGAACGCAAGTATCAAATATGTCCGCCACAGAGACGTCGCTCGCCTTTCGGCTCTCGCCCTTACAATTATAGTCGTATGTGCTCGCGTAATTCGGTGGATCATCCGGTCCACTTACCGCTTAATTTAGGACTCGTGAGAGTGGGAGAAAGATAGAGAAAGTGTCTCCGAAATTAAAGGAACGGTGTAGCCCCGACGTCTCGGGGACAGCCCTCGCTACAGCGTCACCTGAGTAAGCTGATGGGCACAGAGCCGCGTGGTTGGAGGCACTTCTGAGGGCTGGTCACCTCACCTACGGCAGCAGGTCTCCCTGTCCGTGGCTCAGTAGCCACGAGTCGCTGGTCACGAGGTCGGACGGTGCTCTCGCCGGGGTCATGACGATCACTTCTCTCGTTCACAAAAAACTGTCACCGCAGCGCACAGAATAATGACAAAGTTCGGATCCGTCAAGGGAGGCGTACGAACTTGAACAAACTGAAAACTGGGGAAAGCGATGCTCGTCTTATATGCGCCAAGCATTCCCGCTTCCCCCGCATTCAGGGCCCGTAGCGCAAATAGAAAAGCTAAGAGCGCGTCGCACGGTCGGACTCCGCCCATACCGCACCGCTTTCGGTTGTCCAACACGTGTCGATAATGACGTGCAGATGCATCGCACATGCATCACAGCTTATCCTGTCTCGGACGCGGCACAGGTAGCCGGAAATATATGTCAGCTTATTGCGAGGTCAGCTGCGATGCATGTGCGATGCAGCGCTACGCGAGGCCCACAGACGATTCGGATACCCAGGCGCAGATACCGAAAACATTCCGCCCGCCTTCCTCCTTAAGGACGAACCTTCTATCGCGACTTAGTTTTACGCGCTGATCTCTCCCACTTGGCCGACTCCTCTTGATCCTTTTGATGATCCAGCGTCAGCGGTGCGAGACAAGCGACGTGTCGTCTGAAGGTGTTGTTGGCCGTCTTCATCGTGACTAGCCGGACAGCACCGTCAGATCCAGCGTGCATCTCCAGCATCCGACCAAGAAGCCATTTGGAAGCTGGGTAACGGTCGTCCTTCAGAAGGACCAGCTGTCCAATGCCCCTTTCCTGGAGTAGGAGCACGTATTCACTGGTCCAACGTTTCCAGAACTGGTCGCGAATACGTTGGAGAAGCTGGAAGCGGCTAAGTCGATATATTGGTACAGCCGGTGTCTTCTCGTCAGGAATGAGGCCTGATGTAGCACTAATGAGGAAATGTGACGGCGTCAAAGCTTGCAGATCTTCTGGGTCCGAAGAGAGCGGACAGAGCGGACGAGAGTTGAGGCATGCCTCAATTTCAGCAAGCACGGTCGAAAGTTCCTCAAAGGTGAGAGTGTGCTCGCCAACGAAGCGCTTGAGCAAGTGTTCAGTGGACTTCACACCCGCTTCCTACAACCCTCCGTAGTGAGACGTGGTGGGTGGTATGAAAGTCCACGTGATACCATCGTTGGCTAAGGTAGAAGCGACTTCTTGAAAGAAAATGGAACTTGCGCGGAACATAGCACGCAGCTCGGCATCCGCGCCTCGGAAGGTCGTTGCGTTGTCGCTGACGAGTTGCTTGCATAGCCCTCGTCGGCTGACGAAACGGCGGAAGGCTGCGATGAAGGTTGCTGTTGTTAGGTCGCTCACCAATTCCAGATGTATCGCCTTGGTGGCAAAACAAACAAATAAGGCGATATATCCTTTGAAAGCGCGTTGGCCACGACCTTTGGAGGTACGCACTTGAAACGGTCGGGCGTAGTCCAAGCCGGTGATGGTGAAAGGGCGAGCAGGCGTCACTCGCTCGGCTGGTAGGTTACCCATTAGTTGATGGGCCAAGCGGGGTTTGTGGCGTTGGCACTTTACGCATTTGCGAATCGCAGACTTGATAAGCGCACGCATACCTATGATCCATGCGAATCGTAACAGAACACTTATGGTCAGAGTAGGTCCACCATGTAGGGCTTTACAGTGTGCATGAGCGACGAATAGTCGACTAAGGGCCGATTGACGAGGTAGAATCGGCGGATTTCGCACGTGAGAAGGTAGCGGCGCGTTACTTAAGTGACCTCCAACCCGCAAGACACCATCGCTATCGAGGAACGGCCTCAATGAGTGCAAGGCGTGCCGTTTGAGGCCCTTACCGTCCCGTAAAAGCTCGATCTCACAGGCGAATGCATGCGACTGAGCAAGCTTCAGGATTACCTGCCGGGCGTTGTCGAGCTCTGCCGTCGAGAAGAACGGAGTGTATAAACCCTCTTGCGCCTTGCGCCGCGTGTATTGTAAAAACGGTCGCAAATACCAAGCTGTCACGCGTGTCAATATGGTCAAGGTCGAATACCGCGACAATACCTCTGGTTCGTCATTTCTCGACTTTGTGTGCAGGACTTTCACAGTTTCTGGCGACTGAGGCCATGCTTGTGAGTGAGAAGCGAGCCAGGGTGGGCCCTGCCACCATAGATCGAGCGATTTTAGTTCGGCGGGGGTAGCGCCGCGAGATGCTATGTCAGCCGGGTTCTGTTTCGTGGGTACATGATCCCACGTCGCAGAAGGTAACTCGGTCTGTATGAGCGAAACGCGGTTGGCGACGAACGTTTTCCAGTGGCACGGATATTATTTGAGCCACATGAGGACGATTCGGCTGTCGGACCATAGGCGCACCGGCGCGGACCTAACGAACTCGAGCCCTTGCAGGTGGCGGACGAGCTTAACTGTCAGCACTGCGCCGAGCAACTCAAGGTTAGGTATGCTAACAGTTTTCACGGGGGCGACCTTTGTTTTAGCCGCGAGTAGCGAAACGGCAAAGGTACCGTCATCGTTATCAATCAGCAGGTAGACAACGGCAGCGTACGCACGTTTAGAGGCATCCGAAAAGCCATGTACCTCGTATGACTTGCGCTGCGAGAGGCCTAACCAACGAGGCACCGATAACGACGAGAGAAAGCCTAAGGAGCGGCAGTAGGTGAGCCATCTATCAAAAACTTCACCTGACACGCGGGCGTCCCAGTCTATCTTCTCGAGCCATAAATCTTGCAGGATGGTCTTTGCGGTCATGGTGATTGGCACGAGCCAGCCTAGCGGGTCAAATAATCGCGCGATATCGGAGGAGATAGTTCGCTTGGTCAGTTTTTCGCGACGGCACTCGATCTCATCGGTGGTGAAACTGAAGCAGTCCAGCGAAGGCGACCAGTGCACACCGAGGGTTTTCACTGCCTTCTCGCTGTCGATTTTCTTCGACGCGCAGCCGTTGCCTTGCGTCGTGCTTGAAGGCAGTAGCTCGGGGTGCGTAGCCGCCCATTTGTCCAACTTGACGCCGGCCGATCTCAGAATGGCTATCAATTCGTCGCATTTCTGTATTCGTCGCGCTTGCGAGGTCGTCCGCGCCGGCGAAAGTGTCATCGATGTACGTCTCTGACTCGAGACAGGCCGCGCCGAGTGGGAAGCGTTTCCCTTCGTCGCGAGTTAGCTGTTGGAGAGTACGAATATCTAAGTATGGCGCGCAGGAGGTACCGTAGGTTACCGTCGTCAGTGTATAGTGAATGGGGGGTGACTCGGCGACAGGTGACCATACGATGCGCTAGAGGTCCTGATCTTCGCGCGCTACACGAATTTGCCGAAACATTTTCACTATGTCGGCCGTGAAGCCATAGCGATATCTGCGCCAATTGAGTAAAATGAGGTCGAGGTCACTTTGAAGCGGGGGCCCGGCCATGAGAAAGTCAGTCAAGCTGTGCTTGTCCCGAGTTTGACGCGACGCATCGAAAACAACGCGTATTTTCGGCTGTATCGCGGCAGCCTGCATAACCGCGTGGTGTGGCAGGTACCACGCGTAGGGATTGTTTCTCTCATAGTCGGGGACCCGCTCCATGTGGCCGAGATCATAGTAGGTCTGCATGGATTCCGTGTACGCGCGGTTGAGCTGCGGATCACGAGCCAAGCGCTTGTGCTGATAAGTCAACGAGAGCAAGGCCATACGCTGCGTTTCCATACCGACGCGTGGTATCTCTCCTACACGCGGAAGACGTACCTGGTAACGACCGTCGCTTCCTCGCTTATGCGTTTCAGTGAAAAGCTTCTCGCACGCTTTATCGTCCGGTTTTAGCGAATCGGTGACGGCCGGCACCTCCTCAAGCGTCCAGAAGCGTTGTAGCAGCTCGCTCAGGTCACTATTGACTACGCACCGAAGGACCTTGATCGACGCACAGTTCGCGTGTACCGCCCGCCGTGACGAGGGTTTGTAGATAGGGCCCGATATTATCCACCCGAATGCAGTGTTTTGCGCGACCAAACCCGAGCTCGAAACCTGCATGAGACCCGGGCGTAGCAGCTGACCGTAGAGGTCGGCTCCGATCATCAGATCGATCCGACCCGACGTATAAAAGAAAGGATCGGCCAAAGGTAAAGTCTCAAGCTGCGTGAGGTCCTGTTTCGTGGAGGCGCGCGATGGCAAATCAGAGGTAAGTCGCGGTAAGATAAACGCGTTGACCTGCTTTTGAAAGCTCGCGTCCGATCGTGATCGTAATGTGAAACGAGTTGCGGATTTTACTGATCCAGCCGCGCATCCTCCCACACCGGTTAGATTAGTGTGTACGCGATCCCTCGAGAGTCCGAGCAGTTGAACAAGCGACTCGGATACGAAGGTCGCCTCTGGTCTAGGAGTGCCCGGGCACCGACTTCCCTGCCATCGGGGCTTACGACTTTCACCAAGGCGGTGGCTAGGAGAACTGGGCAGTCATCTTCGGGCACACTTTTGTTGCATGCATGTGCCGCGATGTTGCGGTGCGCGCCTACTCGTGCGACATTCGCTCGGACTTCCGATTCGGCACTCGCATTCGTGCCATTCTGCGTGCTTTTGGGCGCGGCGCTACTAGGGTTGCTACTCGGTCGATGGAGCGTCGAGTGGTGTTTTTCACGACAGACCTTGCATGTGTACGTCGACCTGCACTTATTGAACTTATGCTGGCGGAGGCAATTAAAGCAGAGCTTCAATTGACACACGTCGCTCTGACGTTCGTGGACATTTTTAGCAAGGTAAGTCGGGCAACGCGAAATGAAGTGCTCTCCCGTACATAGGGCGCACCTAGACGTTCTCGTTAGCAAGGATGCGTTAGCGTGATGAACGCGGCGCGAGTTATGGTTCGAGCTGTTGGTAGACGGTCCCTTTTTCTCGTCCTTATCTGCATGAATCGCGAGTAGTGATTGAGCCCTTCGATCTAAGAACGCGACTAGATCCACGAACTTGGCGAAGCGCCATGGGTTTTCATCTGAGCCGTCGATCGTGATTGCGGTCGTCTGCCGTTCGCGATAAATTAATTCGCTCTCCCAGATCTTTCTCGACTCAGGATCTAGACGTATATCCAGTGCGTGCACAAGCCAGATGTCCCAGTGCTGTACAGGTGTTCGTAGATTGGTGAGTGCCCGGATGATTCGCTGAACTTCGTCGACGAACGTGCGCAAATCCACAGCGGACACATAATTTCCCGAGAACGACGGTAGGTCTAAACGTGGGAGTTTCGCGAGTTGGTCATCTGTCTCATCGTCCTCGCGTGTACGTCTGCGCGGATTGTGATTGTCCTCCGACGGGAGGTTAGTGAGGGTCGTGATGAGCCAGTCAGACGCGTCCTCGTAAGCACAGCGCATCGCTTGAAACTCGTTTCCGACTGTGTACGGGTGCTCTTCTGATTCAGCACGTAAGGTAATGTCGTGGTGCGTCTTGCAGGCTTCGGCCCAGATCTCACTGATAGTATCTACACGAGTTTGCACGATGACGCGGTTGAGCGTGTCGGGCGCGTGCTCCCTCATACGAGCCCCGATTTGCTCGATCTTGGCCTTCCGATGGGTCTGCAACGCGACTAAACGCGCTAACGCAATAGGCGCCATTGGGTTTATATATATACGTGTACGTAGCTAACACGATTCGCGAACCCTTAGCAAGGTGGACCTTTATCGTAACTTTACTCTATAACAACACAACAAACTAACGATTGAACCTCTTTACATCATACACTCCTCACCCGGGGTACCATGAACAGTAGGTTAGTGTCGGGTAAAGATTCGTTAGGTTAAGGGTTAAGTTTGGTTGATATAGGTAAACATTTGTATTATTTTTGTCCACTTCCGTAAACAAGGTCGCATCCTTGGTATAACCGATGCACCCTGGGGTAATTCTTAATATTCCTACCCCTTGTATTTCGGTTTTTTGGTTCACTTGGTTCGGGCAGATAATTTGGACTGTATCTTGTTGGTTGGCTGAGTATATCCATGACCCATCCGTTGATATACTCGTATAATTCCAACTGGTAATTTGTTGTATTCTCAGAACTATGTCACAATGGTATAGTTCATGTCTGGATGGTTGTAATAGCAGTCCTAGTTCGCATTTACTATTTAGATTAGCATCTAAAACAGGTCCTCCTACCAGACATATAAAGGTATAGCGTGTTCGCACACAACTTTGTAATGAGTGGTGGTCCATCTCTATATACTGTTTTTGGTCCGAACTTAATGCCAAGTACGGATATCTGTGTCTAATATATGCTGATTTTTGAGTTGAGTTCGTTAATTGTGGTATCAATATTGAGTGCAGGCGGTATAGATTATAGTAATTTCTATCAACTAGAGGTAAATGAATGACAATGTGTGTCTTCCCTTTGCTTTAATGATGGAAATTTTAATAATTTCCTAAGGGACATTAGGTTTTCGGATATATCAGGGGCAGCTAGAACGGTAGATAGTCCAATGGTATGACCTTCTTTATTTAATTTTTTAAGGTAAAGATCTCCTTTTCCATCTATCTCGATTTCAGCTGATTTATTTTTGTTCGCACTCTTAATATAAGTTCCTGAGCTTCTCTTAAAATTTCGCAAGATGAACGCTTTATTTGTAATATGTTCCGTCGCTCCGGAATCTAATAAGAAGGTTATCTTATTGTTTACTTTATTAATGTTATTCTTACCTTCAGTATGTGCGACTGCAGCGTTCGCCAGTTTCTGTTTTTTTTTGTCTCCGCTTGGGTAATAAGATCTTCTTGCGCACCGTTTACCTACTCTACCATTGTTGCGACCTCTAGAGTTTTGATTTTTGTTATCTCTATTGTTTTCGCAATAACCTTTGCCTCTTTTGTTATTACCATTACCTCTATTGAAATTTCCCTGTTATCTCTATATGTACCTTTTTCTTTAGATTCTTTCAGCTCTCTATTATTATTTTTATTGGCAACGTACCCTCCACCTCGGTGGGATCCATCTCCACGAGGGCAGGTTTTGCCCGTGTGGTGCGCGAAGTCTCTGCAAATATAGCAGAACCACAGTCCATACTAGATCAGCGGGCAAGAGTCCGAGATGTGATCAACATTGTGTTGATCACATCTGAAGCACTTGCCCCCACCGCTAGGACCAGTACCGGTTGCGGCCGCTGCGCCAGTTCTTGCGACATTGGCAGAGACTCCCTCTGAGACGCCAGAGCTCCTTAAGTCAGCTTCCAGCTGTCGAATGAAATTTTTCATCTCGTCTATATTCATTCCTCTGCCTTTTGTTTATTTAGTGATTATTTCCATTTCTCTAACTCGGGGGTACATGTCTTTCACAGCTTTCATAAAGGCAGACGTTTTCTCAGCGTCAGTGAGAGGAAAGGCTGTATCACAGAGTTCATACTCTCTAATAATGGAGTCAAATTTATCCAAGAATACTGAGACTTTATCTTTCTTATTGATCTTAATGCTGTACAGCTCTTCCCTCACTTTAGCATCATTTGTGTTCGCCTCTATTCTTCTATGTTCTCTAATCTTTGCTAATATTTCTTTGGGGTCATTAATATTGAGAATTATCTTGTGGTAGTTCTCATCTAGATGATTGATTATAATATCTCTAACCAGTCTATTTCTTTTATCAATTTCATCAATATCAAAAATTCTTTTAGGTTTAGTGTTTGAATCTATCACATCTAATAATTCTTTTGCTGATAGTTCTGAGTTTAACCGATCTAACCATACATTGACATTAGCTTTTGATGTGAGGGTATAATCCCTTTTGAAGGATGCTTTAGACGTAGAATTAGTGCTCTCTATTGTTTTAGCTAGTGCACCAAAGGTTTGATTTAATTGATTGCTAATGTCGCTGGTAAGATTATTTTGGTTAACCTCAGTATACAGGGTGTCCAAAAAGTTCCGGGACACCCTAGTAAGTCCTGAGATATAACTACTTCCGAGGAGATTAAGGTCATTTCTGTAGTAACTTTGAACGAGGAATCCAGTGGTGACCTTAATCTCCTCGGAAATAGTTATATCTTAGGACTTACTAGGGTATCCCGGAACTTTTTGGACACCCTGTATGTAATGTGACGGAGAATTTCGGCTTGCCGGCTTCTCCTTTGTCTCTCTCTCGTCCGTTCGTTGCGCCCGGGCTGAGGGTGTATTTGGATACACTCTCATGCCTACATTTTCTCTGTTTGAGGTGCGGCGAACGGGCATTGGCGGAGCTGGAGGCGGTTGATGAGGCGACGATCCGTTGCCAGGATCGTTATGCGTGGGGGCGAGTGGAATGGGGAGAGCGCGGCCGAGGGGGGAAATCGGTAGTATCGTTTGGGCTGGCCGATCGCGTGCGCGCGTTTATTTTGTCGTCGCCGATTTCCGGTTTTGTTCCGTTGGCTTTTGGAAGCGGTGCGGTGCTTCGCCACGTCGTTTGTTTGTGGATGCGTACCCGGTGTGTGGGCGCGCATCGGTGGTTCCATTTGGTGTGAGTGTGGAGTGAGTGGCTGGGTCGCGCCCAGCCAAGCCTTGCCGCCCAGCACTGGTGTGCGCGGGTAAGAGCGAAGCCCGTACCGCCGGCGCGCGCGCGTTCGGCGAGCAAGTCCGGCGAGCAGCTGAGCAGCAGCACCAGCAGCAACAGCAGCAACAGCAGCAACAACAGCAACAACAGGGGGTTAGCGGCGGCCAGCTGCAGCAGCAACAACAACAGCAACAATATCAGCAGCAGCAACAAGCCGCAGCCGTTGGCCGAGAGCGGCCATCTTCGCCCGAGGTCGTCGTTGGGAAGGTCGGTGCCGGTTTTTTCTCTCTCTCTCTCCTTCTCTCGCTCTCTTGCATGTTCAGTGGTGCTCGTGGGTGCAACGGTGCAGGTCGGGCAGCGATGCCGGCCCCCGTTGCCGGGTGTTGAGGTCGCGAGTGCGTTCGCGGGCGCTTAGGCTTGAGCGGATTATCGGGCAGTGATTGCCGATAATCCGATTAAGCGGATTAGCGATTTTTGTATTAGGCCGATTTGCGAGACAGAGTGTGCGTGCTCCGTCTAGTTATTAATTTGTGTGTCTTTCTTTTATTTTCTTTTATTGTGTTTGTAATAATAAATTTGTAATATATATATTTGTGTCATATGTCACTACGTCAACCCGTTCGTTTTCCGACTTCCCTTTGATTCGTGCGCGATTGGCACACACGCTCGGTGTGCCATTCAGTCGTGGGAGCATTCGTGCCTCCCGAGCCCTCCTTTTGATAAATATTGTGCGGACGGCCGCGAGCAAGTATTCTAACGAATAGTCGGCTTAAATAATTCCGTTACAGTAATATCAGGGTTAGTTTCATTTTCTCTAGTAGTTATATCAGGGGCTCTAGTGTTATTGGAGGTTATGTTGTTTTCAGGGTCTAAAATTCTGTCGATGGAGAATGGATGATTCCCACCGTTTTGAAGTGGCGAAGAGGTTATCGCACTAGTGTTAGTGTTTGCATTTTTATAGTTCGACCCTACCTCGAGTCTTCTTATCTCGAGTCGCTTTGATTCGAGAGAAGCATCCAGGATTATCCTGGCTTGTCTGATTACCTCATTTATTTCGGGCCACGCTTTGGCCTGAAGCTCCGCCACTTTCTCCGTAGACTCCATTATGTGTTCGAGGCAGGTGGTGTAAGGGGTGTTCAGGTCTTCCCTGGATGGTGCGTTCACTGCACCAGTTCTCTGGGGAGGCTTGAGGGGTACTATCATGCGAGGGTTTCTTGCCCTCGCATTGTTGGCAGCCGTGTGTCGAATGGGGCCTAAAGGCACGACGAATTCGGGGCCGCGGTCGTCCGTAGCGGTATCGGGTACGGATGACGCGACACTTGATATAGTGGTATCGCTGGCCATAGTTGAAGGTGCTAAGGAACAATATCTCTTTATAAACATTCGGTGCTTAACTCTGATTTGTTAAAGAAAAACTCTGATTAATCGCGGATCCGCACTCTATTTCTCCATGATTGTTCGACAGCTGTTCTAAAACTCTAAACATATAGTATTTGTTAAATTTTATATGCCTGTATCATATGCCCCTGACACTTGATCGACGACACGGTCCCCCTCCATTGCCGCCCCCATCTCCCGATTAGCCTCGCTGTTCATCTAAAATATAATGACCGAATGTTTCGTCTAATTGTTTGTAAAAAGCGGGCAATCAATAGGTTTCTTCCTTATATCTGTCAGGTACTTCCAACAGATACAGTCCGAAAGCCGACAATTAGTTATCTGATCGGCTGATACTACTCTCGTGATCCCTCCTTTTCTAGTGGCCATACATGACGCAAATTACTGGGGAGGGGCGATCGCTCACGTTTGCAACATCAAACCAATCATCCAACCAATTGTCAAAGTCGCGAGAGGTGTTGACTGTACTTAGTGCAACAACCTCGACTTTATCAGGAGATATTATTAAGTATATACACAGGGTGTCCCATTTTAACTTTCGGATGAAGATTACTCGAAGATTTCATGGGTATCGGAAAACATGTTTCAGATGAATGTTTCTCAACTTTGAGGGGGCCATATTATGGTGACCTTTTCATGACCTTGAAGGCCATTTTTAAGGTCATTTCAAGATTAAATTCATTTTTTTAAATGGCAACTCCTATTTTTGACACCGGA